GTTTTGTTGAGGCCTTAGGAGCGAGTGGTAGTAGTGAAGGGACTCGGGGGAACTGACTCAAGGGGATCTACAAAGTCAGGGGGAACAGATGACTACGTGCAATACAGGGGAACCAACAGAGGGACCTCATGTCTCTACCCAAGGAGAGTATTGCTCCTACTTGGGACGAGACACCTGGGTTCACAAGGCCTAACCTGGACAGTACTGACACACCCTGTTTGATTTCCCTATTCTGGTTCCTTTAGAGATTGTGTATCTTGAAATGAGACCTAATTCTATTTGTCATTCTCATGGAAGTGAGGAAGTTGATTCTGATGACCAAGCTGTAATAAGTTTTATCACTGCAAGGGGTGGTGCCAACAAAAAGAAGAGTGTTGCTTACAAACCCCCCACCACAAGGCAACACAGGAAAGCTGAGCATGATAATGTTTTGAAGGCAAGTAAGGAAAAGAACAAGAAAAGGAGACTGCTGAAAAGCATGTTAGTTGATGAGGAAGAGGCACCACCGGCAGATGTGGTGGATGTTGATGATGAGGAGGCTGTGAAGGAAGCACCTCCTCTTGTTAGAAAAAATTCAAAGAAAAGTGATGTTAGTAAAGGAAAGGAGCAAGTGTCTGAGAAAGCAATTCTGAATGAAGATGCTGAGGAAGTGGAGAAGGAAAAAGAGGAGAAAAGGCCTCTCAAGAAGCGGACGAGTACTGATGAGGAACCTGGTTCCTCCAAGAAAGCAAGGGTAGAACTGTGTGAGTTGGAAAGAAAAGCTAATCTCAAAACTCAAAAGTTGATGTGGGGTTGAGGTTTTTACCCTACGATTGCTGAATAGGCAGGGATGAGAGAACTAGTGGAAATTGTGGAGTTCCAAAAGTGGAGCCATCTTTTTGCACCCCAAAGTCCAAAGGTGTATGAAGATGAAGTGAGAAGTTTTTATGTTGGGTTGTTTGTGGTGGATGAGGCCACATTGTGTCTAACTGTTAATGGGAAGGATTTTCTCCTGGATGAGGACACACTTGTGGAGATTCTTGAAGTGCCCACATTAGATGAGAACAGTGGAAGGAACTGTTTCCTCTGCTTTCAAAAAGCTGGTCGTGAAAATGGAGGACACTCTGTCAGGGGAAAGAGTGTACAAGAAAGCACTTAAACCAGAATACCAGTTGTTGTTCGAGATGGTGAACAAAGTCTTGCTACCTCGAGCTGTGAGGAGATCTACAGCCTCCATTGCCGACCTGGTTCTCATTGAGGTGCTGGCTTCCTTCACTTCTATCAGTCTTACTGGAATCATAATTGAACATATAATGAAGGTGGCAAGCTTTAAGGATGCGAAGCATGGTCTTCCATATGGGTTCCTTCTTACAAAAGTTCTTGAACATTTTAATGTCCCTTTGGGAAAAGCTACTAGTGGCATGAGTTAATGTTGCTGGACTTCTTTTTGCTTGTGCTAATTCTATCGTTCTTTGCAATGATGCCAAAATGGGGAAGATAATTGAGGGGGTAAGTTGAATCAATTCTGGGTAGTTGTTGTTCACATGTTGAGTTTCATAGGGGGAACATGTTGGGAATCTGGTTCTCAGGGGTTTGTCACAATCAAAAAGGGGAAAATTGATAAATTATGCTATTATGGGTTTCGATTTGACAAACTTCATTATGGAACCATATAGGAACCTGATGTGATCAATTCCTTTGCGCCTGTTGCGATAATTGTTCAAACGCTCTCGAGGAACCAGATAAGGAAACATATATGATCAGTTCCCCAACTGTCCTACAGTCAATCCTACAGCTGTAAAACCTGTTTCACTATACCAACTGGCAGGAGTGCAGTGCTGCTAGAGGCCAAACCAAAAGTTGTATTGTCTCTGTCTATTCTCACATGCTCTCTCATATATATAGAACATGATACAAGGTTTGACCTAACACTTGACAATCTGAAAAAACCTATCATCTAAAACCTATCATCTTAAGTGTCAGCTGCCACTGTTTTCTCCAGGTGCACTCAAGAACAAAGCTGCTACAAATCAAGGACCAAATCCCAACACCGAAGATGTCTTGAGTCCTTAAATTTGTTGAGTCTTTATCTTTTGTTCTTTACTTGTATACCTACTCGGCTTTTTACACGTATTTTGTAGGATATTATTCAGCCATGATTGTTTTGGTTGTTTGACTAGAGTTAGTCAAGAGTGTTGCTTTGTAATAAAGTTATTGCAAAGGGTTTACTATAGAGTTATTGTAAGGGGTGGGGATTAATAGTTTAATTCCTAGATTGCAATAGGTTATAATCTGAAGTTTGCTCAGTTTAGTGGAGTTGAAATCCTACTGGGGTAGGTCGTGATTTTTAATCCTTTGAGCATGGAGTTTTCCACGTAAATATCGCGTGTTCTTTACTTACTGCTTGTTTACTGTGGGAACTGGTAGAGAACCTGGTTCTCTATACTGTTTGGTGGACTCCTTGTTTTCTTTCAAGACTGCATGCTCAATAATCTTCAAGACATGGTTTATAACCAAATCATATTTATACTACGTCCCAATAAGGGATTACATCATTCAACTATCCCAATATAATAAAGATTCCCATAGGCATGGAAAAACTTGTACATATAACACCACCTTACTCATAAGTCCGGCTTATCAAAAATAGGATGACGTAGAGTCTAGCGCGTGGCATTGCATTGCTCACCTGCACTTGTAAGGAATAATAAACTACAATTTCTAGGTATCTTACCCATCTAGGCTTCCAAATGCCAACATTTGTCTTCAAATCATAGCATTTATGTATTTGTACCCGTCCGGGCTTCCGAATATTATTTTATATATGTACATATCAATACTAGGTATGGTACCTGTTCGGACTCCTGAATACCATTCATAACTTATGCATGCGTACCCATTGGATTTCTGAAATATCAACATCCAATTTCAAGTAATGGCACACATAGCCTCAACAATTTTATTTAAAACATGGCACAATGGCCTCATGTCACATTTCCATAATCATATCACTTATTAGATTCAGTAAAAGCAAGAATATTCATTTCATGAAATCATAACTGAAGTATTTTGCAAGTTGTCTTCCATAAAACATAATTCAAGATCATATGAGGATTCAATTCATTTTATATACTTCATAAGATAGCTTGCTGATGCAATTTATTCACAAACCATGGTGCGAGCCTGCGAGGTACACTCTCTCTCCCCCACGAGCATACATTCACATTGCAAATCTTGTTCAGAAGCATTTAGAACATGCACTTCAGAGAAAATGCCTCAAGGAAAGTTGGTCTCCGCTTACCTCAATCTCGGCGCACAAACGATTTCAAATAGTGCATCACATCCCAACGACATCAATTCACATAGTTTATAACTCAAGCATGCCATGTAAGGCTCGATCCATTGATTCAACCCTTGGGTATTGGCCTTAAGCCACCCAATTCCAATTTCACAACTTGGGGTGAAATCTCTACTCAACCTAACCATTACCATGTATCGCATAGGCTTTCTGTAGCATTTATGGTCCTGCAAGATCCATCCATATCCACAACCACCATTAATACCTCAACAATCTCCATTGATGACCTAGAGTTAGTATTCATTCTAAACTCACATACAATTCCTAATAAACATCATAAATCATCTACCATCCTCTAACATTTCGTACATATGAAGCCCAAGTAAAGGTTTTACCTCTTGCTGGAAAAATTTAACTTTTTTACTTTTCATTGATTCTTGGGAGATTTAAAAATCTAGACAAAAATTACATGTTTCTGATGTTATGGCTATCATTAATGGACTATAATCACTTTAAAAAACCATAAATACATGGGTGGTTGGAGTTCATCTTTGGGTGAAAAACAGCTCTCCAGGTCATGGCCTAGCCCCTTGCTCTTGTGTTTTGACAAAAATTCCCAATTTGGAGCCTTTATAACTTCTAGACCTTGACAGAGCAAAAGGGCGATCCCGGTTTCATTCCATGGTCGCGTAATCCACTTATAGTAGCTATTGCCGGCAATATGTGGTTGCGCTTTTCCTCCAATCGAAGACCCTTCAGTAAAACACTCATAACTTACCTAGAAACCTCCAAATGACGATTTGTTTGAATTGCTGGAAACTAGACTTAAACTGCTACAATTTCTTTTAGAAACAATAGGCAAATTCTTCCGACATTAAGAGCTGTGAACTTACGCTCTGCGTTACTTTGGACATTTCCCCCCTTGCTCTATTCAAATCATTCCAAACTAACTCCCTCCATTCTTAGACATCATTTTCACGTTCCAAACATATTCCACGCTTCTCAACATGTCATGCACCTATTTTCACAACTTAGGACATGAAAATGAATGTAAGACATAGTGAAATAAAGCTACGGGGCATAACATTCTCCCTCATTCGCATTTCCAAGTCGACGTCAGCTATTCCTCCCCTTTGGCTACCATTCTCACTTTAATACATTTCCGATATACATATCTTTATCCCAAACATGTTTTTCAACATTATATATAACCATCTACACGTAATATCATGCATTTAACACAAAATCAAGAACAGGTCTAACTTAAACATATTCAAAACTTTATAGGGAGCTACATCACATATGCTCAGTTACCATGTGAGGATTGAAACAAGAAAGAAAAATTGAGAGAGAAACACTGCTTGGATTATTCCCTCAAGCTATTGGAGTTTACATAGTAACGTCTACGTGTTCTACGAAAGCAAAGAGAATCAAAAGTACATAATTGTAGGAAAGGAATCAATCTGAATGAGCCTAACTGATGTATATATATAAAATCCTAACAATGTTTACCAGATCCTAACAACATATCATTCCTAATGTGGAAGTATTGATTCAGAATGATGGTCTCGCTAAAGTTCCATGAAAATTCTTCCATCTAAATAGCTAAACTGAGACTATTAATTTTTATGTATTTATTTTTCGTTTAGCGATTACTGTCTTAGAATAGTAAATATAGTGCTAGCCTTTCCCTTAAACATACTGACATTGTTGGTATGGGCAGGTGGCAGAGCTTCAGGAGCAAATGCAGAAGGAGAGGGAGTTAAGGAAACTTCTGGAAGCTGGAGTTAACATGTCTTTGGTCACGTCACCCGTCTCTTCCAGTATTGATGGAATGGTCAGTTTATACTAAACTAGTCACTTGTGGTGAATGGCTGGTTTATGCTGGAAGTGATCATTTTGTTTGTGGTATGGTTGAAGGAAGAGATTGCAAAGATTGGTCAAGCAGAGGCAGATATCAGTTCCAAACAGAGGGATGAGGATCTTAGACTGCAGCGTAATGAACAAGGTGAACAAAATTCCACACTTCGTCGTGATGTGGGAAACCAACCTCAGCAAAGACTAAATTATCAAGGAAAAAAGTAAGGTTCACATCATTTCCTCCTTGTTTCAGATTTGCTTCATGACCTTCCTGTTTCTGGTCAAACTTTGTTTATCTCTACTTATTATGGCTATCTAACTTCCTACTTCTGCAAGCTTGCTAATTAATCTTTCTTAATAAAAGAAAAAGAAAGAAAATGCAAGGACAGAATGATGCTTGCCTCAAAGCTAAATTTGTCTCCATTATGAGCATTTTTATTTTCTGGATGCTTGTGCACAAAGCCTTTTAGCATGTAGGTTTTAGTTTCAAGGGCATTTTGATGCTTCAAAATCATGAGACCACTTAGCATTTCATTTCAACGTATCCTGCTTTATTTTGGTTTCTTATTTTTCATCAACGTGACATTGGTGCAGCAGCGATAAACAGAAGGATGTGGAAACTAATGCTACTTCACAAAATCTTGAGAAGTCAACAAGAGATGAGGTACATGTTTTTCATTGTCTTTTGACCAAAACAGAGTACTCTATCTTAGCAATAATGTAAGGTAGAAAACTGCAAAATCATGCTAATCAGCTGAATTGGTTGAGTATGGCAAATTTGGATGGTTGATATTTTATTGAATCTCTGTACTACATCATCAAGCTCTCCATTAATCATTACTATGTCTTGTCAGAAAAATGGGTACAAATTGTTTAACCATGCAATTGAAAACGATAATCATCTTACTCTTCCGATAATTCTTTATCAGAGGGATATTGTCATGCTACTGCAGCATCTTGACTCTTTATGTATAAATGGTTTAGAATGTACCACCCCATATGCTGTATGCATGACCTGTCAATTCTTCTCATAATTGATGTTTGAAGTACGGAATGTAGTCCCAGAACCAAGTTCTGAACCTCATTCAGAGGATCTTTGTGCATTTCCTTTGACAAAGATTTCCACAGAGAATTCATTTCCGTGAAATGGTCGATAAAACGGAAAGGAAGATGCTCCTTGCCTATTTTTCTTATCATCTCCTCTTATCAAAGGAAAATTATTTTGCACAATACAAACTTTGTGCTCAATGTATGACATGTCTTAACATGCAAATCTTTTCCAAAATGAAGTGGATAAAATATCAGTTATATCTATCCGAAAATTGAACATTTACTGAATTGAAAAGGAAAACGACATAGTTTCTATGTGAACATGGGCAGAAACTTCGTGAACTTTCTATACTGTTGAGGTGTACGAGAGAGCTATGTTGTTTGGACTCTCTGAAAACGTCGTCGGGTGCGTGTTGGATCCTCCAAAAGTAGTATATTGTTGGAGAATCTGACACGGGTGCGGCAGCATTTTGGAGAGTCCGCGCAACATAGCTAGAGAGTTTTTCATTTGCAGATATGTATTTGTACTTCTTGCATATTCTTGAAACAATGCCCTTTACAGTTCCAGACGTGTGTGTGTCTATTTGAACACATGCCTGAATTCCTGTGAGCATTTCAATGTGTTGCCATTTTTAACACCTCTCCTGTCTTTAAAAAACTTGGTCCACTTTTAGTCAAAAGATGCCAATAGAATGGAAAAAACTTAATCTCAAGCACCCTTAGTTTCACTTTCTATTTTGGACTGTAGGTAGTATAAATATAAGTAATGTTTAGCTTGACTTTTTTTAATATACCTTATGTGAATTTGGAATCATTACTTGAGTTTATTGTGATTTTTTCATGTTTAAGTTAGTATGCCTTTGTTCCGCTTGATATAGATGCCTAAAACAAATTCCTTTAATATTTCATGGATTATCAATGTATTAAGGTTTATGACCAATGTAGTTGTAAATGAAACATCTTCAGCATCAGACTTGTTCAAACAAGGCAGATTGTGACGAGGACAAGAAGCATGAATCTCAGTTATCAGGAAATAAACACCTACCTCAGAGTAAGCAATCAGATTCATCAAGCAGTCCCAAATCTTCTGTGGCTTTGGTCACTTCCTCGTCTCTGGAAGCGGGAATGGGCAAGGGGCCTTCAACCAGTGCCAGAAAATCTAGTTCCACAAATGAGGTAAGTTTTACTATTCATTTGAGGAAGTTAGGATTTTTTGTCTTTATTTGGTGGATATAAGCTGAAAGCCTGATAAATCTTTGGTTGAGGAACTTGGTGTAATTTCATAGGATAGAATAACTTCTGCTTAGCAAATTGGACAAAAGCCTGCCTTTTCTTCTCATATCCCTGGATCAAACATTTATATTTTTCAGATCGCCTTGGTTAGACACTTTAAATCATTGAACGTTAACTTTTGGTTGGGGAGAAAGTTAAACAGGCAGATTCATCTATTTTTTGTGCATATGGCAAGATCTTGTTTCTCTTAACATTGGTATTTTACATAAGAAAGCATGCCTACAAATAAACGTTGTATTGTATTTATATATATTGTGTACCTTTTTTAATAAAATCTATTTATCCTTCATATCTTTTGCTTTCGAAGAATTTGCTCCTTTACATTTCTGAATGACAAGGAGCCAATGCTACAATATCTGCATTGTCAAAGCTAACAAACAGGCTCTACTTGAAGGAACATCGGACTCCAGCTACAAATGAGCTCCTAAATCTTGACAAAGGAAATTTTGATCAGCCTGTCCACAACTTTGAAAGAAGTAAAGGGTCTGAATCTCAGCACTCTCTGGACAAATCTCCAAGTCAAACATCTGACAAGAGTGGATCAGATAGCCATCAAGTTCTTCGTAAACCAGATCAAGGAACAAAATCTTAAGACCTTCCAAATTCTGAAAGAGGAAAGCCCGAGAGTTTTCCCAAGTGGGGTTGAACTCTGCTTCCACCAAGGACATGTTTGAGACGATGTATCATCGCATATATTTTTACCCTATTTTTCTACAGAATGCCACATGATTATCAGATAGATGCTTGTGGACCAGATCGGAAGATGATGAGCATGCTTTTTGCATATGATCTTGATTGGTCCGTTGAGAACTGATTGTGATGCCAATGTTGCCTCAGTCGAAGTTCTGAGAATTTGTTGGGCCAAATATGTACAGATCATCCATCAGCTGAGGTGTAATGCATTTGTTTGCAGTGCCACTAAACCGAATTTTGCTTGATTACACAGCTGATACTTTTGTTATAGTTGTATGTCCGGTAGAGAACGAAACAACTATGCCTACTGGATTAAGGTGTAAAATTTTCTTGCAACACTTGTTTCGAGTGTCAATTAGAGGAATGATGTCCCTGAAGTACCTAAGATAAGATAGTTTTGTTTCCATTCAATTGTAAAGAAAGTTGGATGCTTCCACACTTGAGAATTTTTGGAAGACATGATTAGTTATTGCTTCAAATTTATTGTTTCAAGCCGTTTAAGTTTGCCAATCCTGTTCACCTTTCTAGGTTGTCTTGGGACATCCAGGGTCGACTTGTTTTGCACTTTTTGTGTTAAAAAGAAAAAGAATACCTTCGTATATAGACAATTCAGTACGTTTGATAGGAGATAAGAAGAGTCCATAAACACATTATGCACGTCCTTAAGCATCTTGATTATTTAATGAAATGATTATCTGACTTATAAAAATCTAATTTACTGCATCCGAGCACTGCTCAGAAAGTGAAGGGGACATTGGAAAAACTCCATAGCTCAGAAATATCAACTGGTGGTTACTTGGGGTTCTTCGCTCCTCTTTCTCTGTTGCTAGGATAGGATAGATCTATAAACTGCTCTTGCATACTGCCTCCACCCCACAAACCCAGTAGTAAAGCTCATATGAACCATGGCTACATTAATTATGTTCCTAATCAGAGGCGGACCCAGAATTTATAGGTGACAGGGGCACCACTAAGGAAAAAAAAGGAATGGGCAGCTAGGTAGTAGCTAAGGAAAAATGAGGTAAAAAAGACTTTTGAAGTCTTGTGTAAGAATATAGGACACATTATTTGGTTAACAAAAAATGTGTAATTAAAGGGGTTCGGGGGTCGGATTAAAAATAACAAAAGTTGTGGGTAAATATTAAAATTTTCAAAACTTTTAAAAAATCATACTCATTCAAATTATTTCAAATTTTCATTTCCCTCTCCTTTCTCCTCTTTACTTCTTCTTCTCCTTTCTTCTTTCTCTTCCTCATTCTCTCATTCTTCTCCTTACTTTCTTCTTTCTCTTCAACTTTCGTTGTTATTGTTGCTGGTTCGTCCATGCCATCTTCTTCTTCTTCATTTTATTTTTTCCCTCTTCGTCTCATTTTCATCTTCTTTTTTCATTTTTTCTTTTCTTCTAGTGGTTTAAAATATACGAGAAAAATATGAAATTTTACAAAGTATTTTGCAAAATAGCCTCGAGATATTTTGAGACATCCCCCATAAATGAGTATTCTACTGAAACATCCACGGGGATGGTTGAAACATCTCACGGAATGTTTGAAACATCCCCGGGTTGTTTGAAACATCCATCGGGATATTTCTTCTGCTTCTTTCTTTTTTTCTAGTGTTGTTCTCATTGATCTTTTTTTCACAGATGTTTCAAACGTCCCACGGATGTGTGCAGATGTTTGAAACATTTCTCTAGATATTTGAAATATCTTTCCTAAATGTTTGAGGATTAGGAGTGGCGGGGGATAGAGAGGAGCATTGCGAGATGGAGGAACAAGGGGATAAGGAGGAGTGGCGGGAGGAGGAGGAGGAGGAGGGGAGGAGTGGGAGGAGGAGGGGGCTTTTTTGTAAATAAGAAAACTTTGGGGGTTTTAAAAATAGTGTCATTAACCTTAATCACAGAATTGTCTCTTTTACCCCATTCTTAACACTTTTGTCTTAAAAAGTGATACTCCCTCCGTTTCAATTTATGTGAACCTATTTTCTCTTTAGTCCGTGCCAAAAATAATGACCTCTTTCCTTATTTGGAAACAATTTACCTTTATGCAATGATTTATAGCCACACAAAATATATGTGCCTCATTTTACACCACAAGTTCAAAAGTCTTCTCTATTTTCTTAAACTCCGTGCCCAGTCAAATGGGTTCACATAAATTGAAACGGAGGGAGTATAAGTTTTGAAGTGTCTTAAGAAATTAATTCCCCCGTATAGCTAAGAATATGGACCTTTGGGTTGACCATATTCTCCAACTAAAATATGGGTCATTCGGCTATCATATCAAATTGTCCAACTGAAAAACATAATAAAAATAAATATGGGAAGCAACAATGTATAGTAGCTGAGAATCGAACTCAGGTATTTGGCATGAAAATAGCAGCTCCTACCAGTGCCCCCAGAGTTAAGGTATATACACATATATATAGATAATGTTTTCCAAATTTACTGGGGGGCAGTGACCCCTCCTCTCCATGTGGGTCCGCCTCTGTTCCCAATACCTTGGCCAATTAATGCCACCTGCTAGTAACCCTGTAACTATCTTACGTCCCATCATCCAATTCTGGTAGTGGAGTATAATGGTGGCGGATAGGAACACATTGAGATGGTCAAAAAAGGCAAACAAGCCTAAGTAGTGGAGTATATATATTTGATTTTAGGAAAATTTGCCTCCTATAGCAAAGGTATACACCCTATTTATTCAAAACCAAAATTATTTTAAAATATTATTTTCTATAGCTACCTTTTATATTTTATAGCAAAATAAGTATTTATGGTATATACTACAATTGAGGCATGAAATACGCTATTTATGTTTTTCCTCTCTTAGACAGCTGGACATACCTATTTTTAAGGTGATTGTCGTTACTGTATTCATGAATACATGACGTGAATACATGTGAATACATGCGCGTACAGCTGGACTATCCTGTTTTAGGTGCTTTTTACTATTGTATTCATGAATACAGCAGCGCGAATACATGTGAATACATGCGCATACAACTGGACTGCCCTGGTTTTAGGTATTTTTTACTGTTGTATTCATGAATACATGTGAATACATGCGCGTACAACTGGACTGCCCTGATTTTAGGCACTTTTTACTGCTTTATTCATGAATACAACAGCGCGAATACATGTGAATACATGCGCGTACAGCTGGACTGTCCTAATTTTACGCGCTTTTTGCTGCTGTATTCATGAATACATGGCGCGAATACATGTGAATACATGCGCGTACAGCTGGACTGTCCTAATTTTACGCGCTTTTTGCTGCTGTATTCATGAATACATGGCGCGAATACATGTGAATACATGCGCGTACAGCTGGACTACCCTGATTTTTAGGCGCTTTTTGTTGTTGTATTCATGAATAGAATAGCGCGAATACAACGAATACACTACCGTAATAACTGAATAGTAGCTATAGGAAGTAATTATGTATATGGTAGATATAGGAAATTAATAGCCACTAAACAATAGTGGTTTCTGAAAATTCTTCTTGATTTTAAGTATTTGACTGGTGGCCCAACTAATCTTGTCCAACTAGAGCATTTGTAAAGCTTGAGTTAAAAAGAGTCCTTCCTCCAACCTTCTTTCTGCGTGTTGAGCTGAACTCAATCAAAATTTGTTATAGTATTCAGTTGAGTTAAATTTGGATCAGTCCAATTATGCTTTATTGCACACCAAATTGAACCAAGTGAAAAGGAGTTATGCAATCGAGTCCTAGTCGAGTTTGACTTAGCTTAGCTCTTCTATTTTTTCTTCCTAATGCAAAATTCCCTTAAACTACTATAAATTCGGAAAAACAGTCCGCACATTAACGACCAAGTCGGTTGGAAAAGTCAAAAATTATATTTTTCTTTTAAAAAAAAAATAAACCGACCGATAGCACTAAAAGTGGGAACTATAATTTCTGACATAATTTCCAAAACACTGACCGATATCTTGAATTTTGCAATGAAATTTAAAAATAAACCATCCAATTTCGGTTAGAAACCTGGAAACAATTTCAGGTAATCGTTCGCTTTCGGTTGATTAACAAGTCAATCCTTTGGACAAAAAGGTCGGTTCTTCTTTTTTACATTAGTATTTATTAATTCTCAGTTTACCGATCGATATTAGTTGGAAATTTAATTAAATTTAATGCTGAGTAAACCGACCGATTTCAATCGATTTATTAGTTAAATATGGTTAAAGACTCATATTACTTTGAAATTTACATTCTACTTAATATAATTAATATCCTAAATAAAAATATAGCACTCTTATTTTGTAATACAAATAATAAAAGTACTAAAACACCTTCATCTTTAAATAATGCAAATAATTTGTTAGTGTTTAGGTATCTTAGAGACAGACACTCAATCGCTTAGACATTTGATCTCAAGTTTTACTAATGGACTCAATAATCCGGATCATCTAGTCACTTAAACTGAAGAATGATTCATAGTCTAAATCAAAATAAAGTGATTGGACGTTTTATCCTATGTTCGAGTAGAATTGCTTCAGCAAGATCCACTCAAGTTCTCGATCAGACTACTCACCAAGTGAGAATAATGCATGCACGTGCGTCATACGAAAATGTAAAATTTCAGAAGTGGCGAGTTTACTCGAACTTGCTACTCTCTAAAGGTTATATTGATCGACGGTAGTAATGGCATATTTCAAAATATGGTTGTTGGTTAAAGTAGTAGGTCAGTGGAGAATAATGTTCAAGATTTTAGATTTTATGATATGGTTGCGGATGCTTTTGTGATGCAATCCCAATTTGAACCCGATAAATGTGTTGAACAAGATCATAATGAAGAAGCAAAGCATTATTATAAACAATTAGAGGTTGCTAGTCATCCACTAAGTGATGAGAGTACACACTTTAAGTTCTCTGTTGCAGTTAGATTACTAAGTATAAAATCACTGGAATATTTCTCAAGCGGTCATGAACTCTTTTATTGGCCTTATAACTAAACTAGTTGAATCAAATATCAACTTACATGCAGATCTCTACAAGGCAAAAAGATTGGTTTCTAAGTTAGGATTATGTCTATGAGAATTGAATATTATGAAGATGGTTGTATATTATACTATAAATATGATACAGAGTTAGAAAGTTATAAATTTTGTGAAAAGCCTCATTTAAGTAGGTTTTAGTTAGAAGAAGATCGTTATAAAGGCGATGCATTATTTACCTCTTATACCTAGGTTAAAGATGTTGTACGCATTGTGAGTTCCGCTTGGAAGAATTTTGATAGGACGTATTGGGATTTTTCTAGTAAATCAAGGAATATTCCATTGAGTTTGTGTACCGAAGGATTCACATCGTTTTCTGTCTCTACGACACTATATTCATGTTAGCCCATTTTTCATACACTTCGTAATCTTCCCCCTAAGATGTGTATGACAAGTTCATATATATTTTTAAATTGTATTATACCCGGTCTCCATAATCTAAAAAGTTTGATTAATTTATATTTTCAACCTTTGAT